ACGCCAGGCCATGACTCAAGTGGTACGCGAATATGAAGCGGCGAGTTGGTCGTCAGTGAGAGGGTGACATAGAGGAGGTCATGTGAGGGGGAGATGAAAGCATGTGGGCAGACCTGGAGCCAGGTGAAAACGTTGTCGGAGAACCGAACGCAATGGAGACGCCTGGCTGAAGTCCTATGTTCCTGTAGGAACTAAAGGAAACAATAATGATAGTAAACGAAATTAGAAAGTTCTGTGAGTAACTTGTTATGATTATGAGCAATAAATTGTGCTTGAAATGTTATCAGTAAATGTTGCTGTATGACAGTGTGAGATTTTATCAAAATAGATTGTGAGTAGATTTCGATCATCCTCTTGAAATCCCCTCGTACGGCTATGCGTGTTCATCGCCTGTCAGGTTAGGTCTATTCAATATTTTCACATCACAGTCGGGGGTATTTGTCACAAAAGTGAAAGGGGGAATGCGAATGTCTGGCGCTTATAACTAGATTGATGGAAAACACTGATTACAAAACTGTGGTGTACATGAGCTCCAGAATCCGAAAGGATCGAATTGCATATGAACCTGTTTTGGTTACCGGAAGCCATGTGAACACAGCTTCACTGCCTTGTGGATCAGAATTCACGTCAAAGACTTGAGATGTGGCCCCTTAAGACAACCACCTGCATCAGTCTAGGCATCCGTACCAGCATCCCAGCCGTTGCGCAATGTGTGTGCGGCGCATCTCCTGGTGCCGACAAGTTTGTGTTTTCATAGACAAAAGAGTATATTGTATGGGACGAAGCTTTGTAATGTAAAAAAGAAAAAAAACAACGAAGTAGATCTACTCAACATCGCTAACCGCCTTACAACCACCTAGAAATGTATCAAATTAAGATACAGTTAGCAGGAAAGTCAATCAGCAGTAGTTCTGAAGGATGAACGAGTACACATTAAGAAACTAAAGGTCAACGTGAGCACAATTCAGCCTGTATGTGTCTTAAGTAAGAATATAGCAACCACTTGCTTTCAAAGAGTTCTAAAATGATATCTGTTTGTCATCTGTACAGTTACGTCATCTGAAGAACAACTTCTTCATCTATATTAAACTGCTTTGGCAACATAACATTTCTTTTGAAGTATTTAAAGAATGCTGTAATATGCCAATTATGCAAATCTAAGAATTTATATATTTGTTAATTAATAGTAATGCATTATGGTAATTAATAGTAAATTAGAAATTACACTGACAATCAAATATTTACTAATAATGCATGCTGCTACACTAGACGCAGAAATATTTATCACAGATTCAGTCAGAAGCATTTTTCAACTAATCTACACCCTAAAAATTAATATGAATAACCATCACAGATCGTCCAGGCAGGTAAAAAGAAATATTTAAAGAAATGCTTTAGCATTAACGAGGGCAGTGCCGCAAAGCCTTATCAATCTCGTTCAAAAGCCGTATGAACATCCCACATACCAGATGATTTACAAAGGAATACTCGGCGAAGCTTTCGAAGTGAAGACAGGAGTGAGGAAAGGCTATCTATCTACTGCTACTGTGGTGAGAGCAGGCTGCGAACCAACCAAAATTTCAGACAGCAATTTATGTCAATGTTTGCGTCTCAAATTAGGGTCATGAGAAAAACAATATAAAAAGGTTAACTTTGAGGAACTCAACAACCAATCACAGCACACTTAACGTGTGCAAATGTGATTCGCAGATAAATGGCTTAATTTTCTGAGAAACGACCACAAGCAATACAGAATAACATTCAGCAAGAAAACAACCAATCAGATGGCGTTGCTTCTCCGCTGACAATAATGTACATAAAAATCTATAAATATCTGTTGATTTTCTCAATAAACGATGTGTCGCCTAGCCTTTGTCTTCTGTCATTACACTACTACTATTACCGATGACATTCTTAATTGTGGTGAATTGAATTGTGTGACAGACCGTGGGGAGCGAGAACACACGCATGTACTGAACCAACAAGAAGAAACTTGATGATATGTACCTCGCGGATAGACTATATTTTAGTGCAACACAAACTCGAAGACAGCGAAGGCAGGACTCAATGTGAACATGTAGAAAACAGGGATGACGAAGATATCCAACCAACAACAAAAAAGCATCATTCACTGTCAGCGGGAAAAATTTAGAGGAAGTCGCCACCTTAACTCGCCTACAGTCTGTACAGAAAAGAATGCCAAAGCCAGTCAAAATGGGGAAAGCAAGACAGAGCTTCACCAATCTGAAATCAACGTGGATATCTGCTGCACTCAGTATAAAGAACGAGATTCAGATCCTATACACTGATGTCAAGTTAGTTAGTGCTTCTATATGCGTTCAGAGACTTTTGGCGCTAACGTCATAGGAAGCTTTCCCATGTGCAGACTTTCGTCAACAGTTGCCTTCGCTTCATACTGAAGATTAGATGACCGATTGGAAAGGATTAGTAACACAAGAAAACTCTGACAAGCAATAGACCAACGAAGAAACTATTGCTCAAGAAGTATTCTGAATAAAGTGAAGATGGTTTGTTGGGCCGTTAAAGCGGCGCATCATATGCCATACCCTCAAGTGTAACCGAAATGCGAAACGATTATAGTTTTGAGTCCAAGGATGATATGGTGGAGATCATATCCAAAATGAAATGAAAGCGCTTGTAATAAATCATAGAGCCAGCTTTGGAAAAAAACATCGGAGAGAACGGAGTGAAATAGTGCGATATGCTGTTGAATTGAATCCCCCCTGTCTGTCTTCGACATAGAACTTTGCACATATGTGCACCAGTTCAAGTCGCCACACTTTATGTAGCACACAAAGCAACAGAAAGTAGAAGAAATACATAATAGAGACAGTAAGCAGAGGTGAGACAAAGGAATAGTAGTAGCGAAGAACAAAACAGTTTCATTGGAAATCATAAGTCACAAGGAGTGGATGCATCTGCACCAGCCATTGAGAACAATCACTTTGAGCCATATCATCAATTGTTTCCAGTCATTGGTTTTTACCGTCCCGAGGACCCCAACCAGGATGTCTACACCTCCCAGCGTGTCTGGATTAAACTAACTGTTGTGGATTTCATTGACTGATGAAGCCATGTTTTGGTTTGACCGCCACTAGCTCTTTTCCAGCCTGACCCTATAACAGCTAACCTTATTTATTTTATTTTTGATTACAGCTTGATTCTACACTCTATTTTGGTACAAGTATGGAATTTTCAGCATGGATATCGGTAGCCCAAATTTCGCAGGCCGACCATAGACATCAGGTGTACGTCGGCGTGGGCTCGAACCCCCTCGACCTTGCCTGTCGGTCGAGGAAGGCGATGACTAGGCAGGTACGCGTAACACATGTCCTAACCATCTCTCTCAGTCGATGTAGCTTCACAGCCTCGTCGATTGATTTCCCCTCCCACCTAACTAGCACTCGACCTATGGCTAACCTCAATACTGCTCACCTTATCATACCACTTCACACAGGAGAGAGATTACACTAGGAACCCGAAGGAATAACAAATTAATAACAATACTCTTATAAGTATTAAAAATTATATTATTATTATCATTCGAATTTTCGTCATTATTACAAAGAGAAATGGACAGGTAATGCTGGGTCGGTATATATATATATATATATTTACATAATACACTCTTGTTGTATTCTCATATTTATACATCTAAGTAGAACACATAAAGCAGAAATTCAGAAGAAACCAAATAATAAAGAGAAGTGATAATTGTACAAAAATAAAGCGGAAAGTCACATACATATAAGAAGAGGACATAAATAATATACACATGTAAAATGAAATAAAAGACATTCATATAGATATAGGAAATAAAATATACATATAAATTACAGAAAACAAAATAAATAAATAAAAGTCTACGTAGGTAATTGAAGGATATTAAAAACTGCAATAAAAAGTATATACGTAATTATATATCATACACAAACACTCACTCATCCACCCACCCACCCAAATATACATGCAATTTGGTGGTACACGCTATAAATTGCACTTGTCGAGTTCTCTTCTTTATCCTTCTATTATGTAGACTGAGAATAATGTTTGAGTAGGTCAGAAATGCATGCAGTCTAAGATGTATTCGTCAACATTTAAAGAACTGTCGCTCTCTCACTCTCTCTCTCACACACACACACACACACTCAAAGGAAAACTCAGAAGAAGAAAGAAAAAATGCAACAGTTCCACTATTCTTGGATTTGTCATCGTCTTTTATTATTCATGTGAATTGAATCAGTGTTCAAATCGACCGACAAGAGTGCATCAAGACGAATATGTGTAAGAAGGCATAAAAATAAAAAGATTCAGCTATTTGGCTCGTTTTCAACGTCGTCATGAAATCAATCACCAATAATAATAATAATCAATAAAGAAAACATTTAAGTCAAAACGAGGTAGGTAATAATCGATGACTAGAGACAGGTATACAAATATGCGTGTTGTATTATCATCAATGTCGTCGTCGTCATCGTCATTCTTGATTACACTAACAAACACTGCTGTTAGTCACTTTTAAAAAAAGATTACGTAATCATGATAGTCATCATCACCATCATCATTAAGATACATTTTTCAAAAAAATGGAAAGGGGAAAATAAGAGACTGAACACATGTGTGTATGTGCATATTATATAATGCACAGTATAGTTTTCTGATAAAGAAATCAAATAAAAACGATTGTCTTCCTCCATAAGCGCCAAAATACAATTTTTGAAGAAAAAAGATAAAATTATGAAATAAGCGTGTATTGCTATTATTACACATTGTTGTTAAGGTAATAATAATAATAATAATATAAGCTTAAAAATACAAAAAAATCTGTGAAGAATAAGTGTAGTACATACACACTGTAATTAGTGCAGAGGATCTGTGTGTGTTGGTGTGTAAAACAGTTAAAAAGTAAAAAAAACAACAACAATTGAAAATGCTTTTGATATAGAAATAAATAAATAATTTCATTTAATTTTTTCTTTCTATAGGGCTGTATATACTAACTTTTCATCTCCACTGCCTAATGCATTAAGACAATTGTTATTTGTAGACTGTACCAGATCTTCTATACCAGCTGCTGGTTGTACAAGTGGAATTGTACCCGAGGAGAAGAATGCAGCAGTAGCCGCCGCTGCTGAAACGGTTGGAAGTGAACGTCCATTAGAATGTTGTTGTTGTTGTTGTTGCTGTTGTTGTTGTTGTTGGGGTGTTGTTACTCGACGTTGAGGAGTAACTTGAATTGATGTTTGTTGAGGTTGGAGAGTAGCAGTTGGTTGATTGATAGCCATACCAACAGGAGCAGTTGGCATAAACTGTGGTAAACCAGTGGTTTGAATCAATTGACCGTTGGGACCAACAGCCATAACTTTTAATGGAGCTCCTGGTGCCAAAGTGATAAACTGGGGAGTAGCACCAGAGCATGCAGCTACAGTACCAGGTTGACCAGTGACAGAGACATCAGTTGCCATCATTGTAGCTTGTTGTGGATGTTGTTGGATATAAGCTTGTTGTTGAGCTGGTTGTAACTGATGAGCTTGTGCTTGAATCTGTTGTTGTTGCTGTTGGAATTGTTGTGCTTGCTGTTGTTGTTGTTGCTGCTGTTGTTGTTGAACTTGAAGACTTTGCTGAGTTCTTTGCAGTTGTACTGCAGCATTCGCTGAAGAGCATTGTGCTAATGCTTGCTGGTGCTGTTGTTGCTGTTGTTCAGAAAGTAATAAACTTGTGAAATTTGGAGCAGGACAACCAACAGGAAGAAGGTGGTAAGAAGTTCCTCCAGGATTAGCACCTATTTAAAGCGATAAATAAAACGATATTTAACAAGCGATTTTAAAAAAAATAGTATCAGGATGTGCATGGGTGATTCAGGGGTAGAATGCTTCGCCAGCCACACGCATCATTCGGGTTCGATTCCTGGGCCGACGCTTACCTGGCAGTGACTCCGGTAAGGAGGGAAGTTTAAATGTGAGGTTACCAACTCTGTCACATAAAAGCCCACCATTACTGACTGAAACTTCACAGCTTGAAGCCTAATGTCCCGGGGGCTCCAAATACAAAGGAATGAAACGATGTATAAATTCATATGCACGTCTATCTTCTCAAAAAGTATGATACTTCCTCGTGACAGCCTTAATCCTCATATATATAAAGCCGAGGTAAAACAATAACGGACTAGTTGGGAATTGATTATTCAATCGAAACTTTGTTCAAATATTCCCAATATATTTACTAAGCCGACTGTGATTCTACACGACATGGAATAGGTTGTCAGATAAGTAGGAAGATGATATGTGAACAGCTTGTTTTTATTAAATTTGAACATATAGCGGATACGCCTAAATTTCACTTCTGATGTTCCAATCCACATGAAGGCAACATAAAGATAACTTAACCAGAAATAACTTTTCCACAAGGACGACCTAAGATAGGTCCATCAACCTTTATATAAACAACCAAGTTCAAATATGTAAATTTTCCAACCAGAACAAGCTGGATTCAGGAAAGGCAAATAATGTTATGACCAAATTGCAACTCTACGCATCATCACAGAACAAAGCATGGAGTGGTAATCAAACCTCTACCTCAGCTTTATAGACTTTGAGAAGGCCTTCGACAGAGTTGACCGCGAAGTAATTTGGAAATTACTTGAGTACTACGGCGTACATCAAATATTCATCAACCTTATTCAACAGCTGTACGACAACAGCACATGTCAAGTGATCCACAACGGAAGACTCAGCGAGCCGTTTAGAGTAAACACAGGAGTCAGACAAGGGTGCTTATTATCACCAATGACATTCCTAATTGTGGTGGACTGGATTATGCGTCAGACAGTGGGAAACGAGAAGACAGGGATATCCTGGACCGACGTGAAGAACCTGACTAGAAGACCTGGATTTCGCGCGTGGATGGTTTATGTTTGATGTCACACAAAATCGAAGACTTACAAGCGAAAACCGACAAACTGGTCGAAGAAACAGCCGGCGAAGACAGGACTATGGGTGAACATAGATAAGACGGAGGTTATGAAAATAACCAACCAACAATAAGAACAACATCCATCGCCAACCACCATCAACGGGAGGGATTTGAAAGAGGTTACTTCATTCACTTATCTAGCATTGAGCATTGTCTCGATTACAGGAAGTCGGAACGGACGACGATGTCAAATCGAAAATCGAATCGGGAAGGCGAGAAACACATTCATCAACCTGAAACCAATCTGGAAACCTTCGTCGCTCAGCCACCATCAACAACAAAATCCCGTCGGATTTTCAATACAAACGTCAAGTCAGTCAGTTCTTCTATACGAATCACAAACTTGGTGGGCGGGTCACAAAGAATATTTCCAAAAGCCTGTTGCAGATCTTTATCAACCAACAACTGTCTTCGCTGGCTCTATACTAAAGATCAGATGGCCAGGCCGGAAAGAATCAACACTAAGAAACTATGGGAAGAAACAAAACAAGAACCGATCGCCCAACAAATATCCAGGAGAAAGTGGAGATGGATTGGACACTCGCTGAGGAGGCCGCCACTGGATGACATCGCACGCGCGTCAGGCCATTGCTCGAGTGGAACCAGGCCGAAAGGGAAGCGGCGAGTGGGACGTCAGTGTAAGGGTGACATGGAGGAGGCCGTGTGAAGAGGAGTTGAAACAGTATGGACTAACATGGATGGAGGTGAAAAGTACGGCAGCAGAAGACAGAAGTGGCAAGTGGAGACATGCAGTTGAAGCCCTATGTTCCACTAGGAACCCCAGGGAACAGTAATAATAATAATAAGACAGTAATAAGTCGAATCTATTATCAAAGTTAACTTACCCGCCGGAGCTTGAGCTAAATACACCTGTTGTGGATATGCTGCCTGCGGAGCTCCAGCAGCTTGTATCCCAACTGGGTGTTGAGGTGCAAAAAGTAGTTGTTGTTGGGCTTGCTGAGCCATCTGAACTTGAGCTTGTTGCATAGCTCCTTGTTGTTGTTGAGCAAACATTTGCTGTTGCTGCTGTTGTTGTTGTTGTGCTTGACCAGCTGTTGCATTGGCACCTCCAGAAGGCGACTGAATAGCTGTACCAACTTGTTGATTTTGTTGTTGTTGATAGATTGTTGCACCAACATTTTGCCATGTTGCAGTAACTGCTTGCTGCTGTTGTTGCTGTTGGTTAGGCTGTTGAAACTGAACAGCTGTAGGACCAGCTTGAGTACATGGTGTTGCAGACCATTGTAAGAGTGTTTGACCACCTGTAGACAATGCTGAAGCTTGAGGACTAATAAAGAACTGTTGAGTTGTGCCGGCTGGATTACCAGAGAACTGGAATTGAGGTGTTGCATAACAACCAGCTGCTACAGCTGCTTGAGTACCTGTGTCAGGAATAAAACTCATTTTTAATTTCAGTTTACTGACCACACAAATAAGAAACGGAGAATAAATATCACTCACAAATCAGACAGTTAATAAGATAAGCGACATGAATGGGGCATATCACTTCATTTAATCAAGGGAACTAACTAAAGACAAATGCAATTCATATTTCATGTTTAAACTTGAACAACAATCAATTTAAATGTAAAAGTTCCATTGTGTTCCTAAAGCGCAAGAAGCAAAAGCTGGTGTGACGGATATTACGGATGCTGGATCGTTTTAAATTCCCACTGATAATATATTAAATACTTTGGGGAAAGTGCCTTTTAACCTTTTCTAGTTTACTCTCACTTTAATTGTAATTTCCTATCTGGGAATGCAATGAAAACACTGGTAAGTGAATTTCCGATGGCAACAAACTGACATTCAGATCATTGTGATAATGTATCTATTATGCCGTATACTTCTAAATCGTTTATAGACACATTACTAACAAATCTAGAGAACTCTATAGTCTGCTAGCCAGTCATCTTATAACTTGTCTCATGGTCTTCGCTTAATCACAATAAAGCCACTTATAAGCTAACTTTTTATGATGGTCACTACCTTTTAACTGATAATACACATATATTAAAAGCTATATATATTAATATAGCTACATACGTAACACATGTCCTGACCATCTCTCTCAGTTGATGTAATTTCACAGCCCCATCGATTGATTTCCCCTCCTTACCTAGCACTCGACGCCTAACTTCATTATTGCTCACCCCATTATACCACTTCACACGGGAGATAGAGCGCAGGCACTTATGATCAAAAGACAGCTAATCTTTTCATGTCTTCCACTCTCAATGGCCACGTCTCACAGCCATAAAGGAGGACGGAGTGGACTGATGAGTAGTACACACGCCCTTTGGTCGATAGCCAACCGGATATCACGTCTACGCCAGAGACGGCATAAACTGGCATATGCGAAACTAGCCCTCTGTATCCATGCTGAGATTTCGTCAGAGATCAACCCGTTGGCACTGGCTGATGGTACTTCCCAAATAAGTGAAGTGGTCAACGTGTTCTACCACTTCATTCCCTATTTCTAAACTAAGAGTCAGTGTGGTCCAGTCCTGTAACATCATCTTGTAATTGGCAGGAGCGAATCGCATGCCAAACATCCGTAGATTGCAGCTCAAGGTGTTCAGAAGACTCTGCACTTTGTCAACGTCCTCGCCTGGAAGGACCATATCGTCTGCATATGCTAAGTCAACAAGATTATTCCCTGGTAGCAATCCGATTCCTGAGTCTCTGAAGTGAGTTAGGGTTAAGTCCATTAGTACACCTATGATGAAATTGAATAGAAATGGGGATAATGGACATCCCTGACGGACGCCACCAGTCGTCACCACTTCAGATGACAACTCGCAGTAAGTCCTCACCTGACTGAGTCTAAACTTGGTAATACAAATATATATTAACAGTATTCTGAGGAAGTAACTTGATCTGTACAGCAAGTTAATTGTTATCGTTTGCACTAAAGTCTGTGCAGACTTTAGAGAGTTAGATCAATTTAAAAGTTCATATGAAGGTTTAAAACCTCTTTAAATAACCAACGTGTTTCATCCTACACTTTATTTCTTATTCCTACATCATTCACACTACACTGTTTATTAAACATTAGGAGTGTTACGATGGTAGTGGCATTCAAGTACCCTTGAGATTTCTGCAACTTGGCACTTCAGAGACAATTAAAAATAATACTGGTGCCATCCATCATTGATCATAGGCAAATCACAACATCTTAGATGAGTCCTATCAACTCGACCGCCCATTCATGTAGCAAACATCAAAATGCAAGTCGTGACTAGTTGGAGTCCACCATTGTCAAGGTGAAGTGGACGTTCATCGAAGGAACTGGTCGATGGATGGATGGGGGCACTAAATCACGAACTAACAGAGTAAGAATTCACATGTCATTAAATTCGGGCACAAGTGGCTGCATGATCAACGAGCTTCGTCTCCTAACCTAAAGCTCCCGGGATTCAATCCCCTAGCGCTGGCGTCATGCCTGCACACTGAAGAATCCCGCACTAGGACCTCTATTTGATGTTGGTTCGTGACGAAGTCTACATTGGAATTAATCCGAATCCCTACAGAAAAAAAAACATTCTGATATCATAAATCCTTTCAATGAAAAAAAAATAACAACAGGATATCCACCCTTATTGATTATTCATACCAGGGTGAACAGGAATAGCAGTCGCTGTGCCACCAGGTCCTGCAGCCATTGTCGACAAGGTGACCATTGGTGCAGCTGACATAAAATGACCTCCACTAACTAGCATCTGATGCTGTGGTTGTTGCTGTTGTTGCAGAGCTTGTTGCTGCTGCTGTTGTTGTTGTTGAGCTGATTGGGTAAACTGTTGTTGCAATTGTTGTTGTTGCTGATGGTGTTGTTGTATGAGAAAGGCTTGTTGTTGTTGCTGTTGTTGGAAAACTTGTTGTTGTAGGACTTGTTGCTGTTGTTGTTGTTGGAGTTGTAGATCTGTTGTACAATTTGTGAATACTAAATTAGCAGTGGTAGTAGCAGTAGTAGTAGAACCAGCACCGAGTTGTTGGACTGACATAACTGGTGATTGTCCTATTGTGACAAGATTACCTGATGGCTTTTTACGTTTAGCAACTATAATTAACAGATAAGTAAGAATAATAATAATGATAAGAAGAAGAACCTTGTCATAAATAACATACACAAAAGATAATCGCTGCATAACCTTACCGTCTAACGTATTTAACCCCTAGAACTATACACACACACTGACACACCTGATAAGATACCTACTACAGGCTTAATCTTGACGAAAACAAGTAGACACTGCAGAAGAACAGTGTCAAGCTACCGAGTGACTGACTGCGTTTCAGCACACAACTTTGAATAGAATTGCACCAGTTCAATTTGCCACACCCCATGCAGCACACAAAGCAAGCGAAGACAGTAAACAGAGATTCAAAATAGAGATATGGAAGAACAATAACATTTTATTGGGTATTATCAATCATAATGAGTGAATACATCTGCGCTAATGAGAAAGATTTCGAGTCACATCACCCAATTGTCTTCAGCCACTGGTTTTCACCATCCCGAGGACACCCCAACCAGGATGTCTACACCTACCAGTGTGTCTGGCTTAAACTAACTGTTGTGGATTTCGTTGACTGATGAAGCCATGTTTTGGTTTGATCACCACTAGCTCTTTTCCAACCTCAGCTGTCGTATGTCAGCTAACATTGCCCATCGAGGAAGGCGATAGACTGCTAAGCATGCATGAAACCGATAAACATAAATCCAATTGAAAAATTTAATACCTATAAACGATCACTTCAACTTGTGAGTTAGGTAGTAATGAGTCTTCCTTACATTATGAGTGTTTAATAGATTTTGTCACGAATCAATATTAGTTGGAGATGCTTGAAAACTAGGAAGCACTGGACAGCTGTTTCGTCAGCCTAGTTTGGGACTCTTTGAGAGTCGAACCTTGGGCTTTCTAGTTACGAGATCAAAATCACTGACTATTCACAGCCGCTTGGGTTGGAATTCAGTGATACGTGAGCTTTCCTGCTACCCTAATACTTAATTAATGAAATAATCTTCAGTGTTGACCTTATCTTACCGATAATCATGTGGAATATAGCCATTGGCCAATGATATATTACTGAGGTGTATTATTTAGTGTCCAATGGTAATTAATACAGGTTTTCGGACACTCATCCAGGTATTCATAAGTGTAAACTTCAGAATTTTAACTGTTAGTGTTAATTATGACACAGACGATAAGGCAGTAACTCATCGACGAAGACATTGCGAAATGGTCGCGCTATGTCGTGAATTGGCAGAAGTTAGAATTCATGGGATGGCTATTGGATCGGGTCCCAGTGGCTTAATGGTCTACAAGCTAGCTCACCTTGTAACCAGAAGGTACTGGGTTCGAACCCCAGTGGGTGCGTACTGTTGAAGAGTCCCAAACTAGGGCGAAACAGTCGTCCAGTACTCCCAGGTTTTCCAGCGGTTCTCTAACTGATATCAGCTCATGAAGAAATCCTCCATGCAATTATGATAAACACTGAAGTTCCAAATGGTAGGAGAATTAAACAGATTATACACACTAAACGGCAATTCAGAAACCTGTAAGTGACCATATATGTAGGTCGGTAAACAAAGATTACAGACGTGATAACAAGGATTACTCTATAATCAGGTTGTCTTAATCGTTAACAATTTTATTAGTACAGGATACCTTGTTTTTCAAACTACATTGCGGTTTAATTGAACTTTAGATTTTCCCGTCGATTGACTGAAGTGCTCGGTCTCAGACTGACATGTCAGATTCTTGTGCAGATGTTTCGACGATGTTCGGGCATGTAATTAGTATTTGATTGGTGGATGGTGACTAGCAGTGGAATCCAGCTCAATGCGCATTTCGTCCTATTTGGGACTCGTCAGCTGGATGTACCTGCATTTCTCAGTGAGTGATGATCCACTAATTAAATACTAATTAAATGCCCAGACATCGTCGAAGCATCTGCACAAGAAGCCGACATGTTAACCTGAGACCGAGCACTTCGGTCTAATCAATCGACAGGAAAATCTAAAATTAAATTAAATCAATATGACCAGTTGTACAAGAGGTGGCTCTCGTGGCCCAAGTAGTCTAATGGATAACGCCCTGGAGTTTGAAACTATGGGCACTGGGTTCGAGCATCGGTGGGAACATCATCACTCGCTGAGAATTGCAGGCACATCCAGCTGACGAGCCCCGAATAGGATGAAATGCGCTTTATCCTGGATTCCACTGCTAGTCACCATCCACCAATTAAATATTTATTGCGGTTTGTAATTTAAAGTCTATATAATTAAGCATAGCAACACTGTGTAATTAATGCAGTCAGAATTTCTATTACAACAAATTCTAATGTAGACATATTAACAATGATGAAGGCTTCGTTGACACTGTTTCGCACAACAGACTCACCATTCCAGTATCTCATAAAATTCTAATGAACATATACATTCAAAAATAATTTGAGCACCCCTTACAGTGTTAAATAAAGATTTGTAATACAGTAAACATTGGAAATGACAATTAGAGATTACGATAAGTGCTCAGTATACAACTTACGTTACTAAAATGTCATAATAGTCTTGGCAACTTAAATAATACTCACATAATCTTAAGAGTGAAAAACCCAATAGCTGAAATGTGGTTAATTGGCTTAGGCACCCAACTTTCAACCAAGAGGTACAAGGCCCGTGTCCCACTCCAGTTAATTCAGGCTGGGCAACTGAGAAATGACATCAGTCCAAACAATAAGTGTGGCCAATAGCCATATGTACATGGAAAAATATATTCCAGATAACTGAGTTGTAACTACTACTACTACTATAAATAGATTTGTACACCATTGATCTAGATGCTGAACCTTCAACGACATAATAATGCGTTTGATTCCCGCCACACAAATACGGTCTAGGACATAGATAGAATATTATTAAGTTGAATAGGAACGGTGTGGAAGCCAAACATTTTGAAGTGTTAGTTTGTAGAGATTTGATTGGTTTGAAGCTAGAGAACCATTGAAAACCAGGAATTCCAGGACAGACCTCCCGTCATAGTTTAGAACTCTTTCAGAGATATGTAGCCATGACCTTATTCTCCAGGGATCGAACCCAGAACCCTCAGGTTTCGAGACAGGGTGGTTGGTCATTCAGACATTGGAACAGAATCTAGTAACCCATAAAATTGTAACTCCTGTCAATTTGCTCACCCGTGACTGTCTACAGGATAAGATTGTTTGGAGTTCTAGTGAGAAGTTATGATTAGCAAGGTTCACCAGGTTAGATGTTAGCTAGCCGAGGATATTGGCTGGCGGTTGCATTATTTATTTATGGGTCGACCATTAGACTCCACCCTACTGGCTGGATATCCAACGGGACCTGAAGGTACTGAGCTCGATCCCTACCGGGTTGTCGATGCATACTGATGAAGAGCCCCAAAATAGGACGAGAGAGCTTACTAGCGCTCCCTGCTTTTCGATGGTGCCCTAACCAATAACGATTCGTGACCAAACTTAAAAAACCCATTTTGTCACGGAGCCAAAAGGTTGGGTGAATACAGGGACAATCAAACATACATAAACAGTTACAGGATTTCATCATGAGCTGAAATTGGTTAGAAAACAATTGGGAAACTTGCAGGGAGTACTGGACAGCTATTCCGTTAGCCTAGTTTGGGACTCTTCATCAGTACGCACCACCACAGGGGTTCAAACCCAGTACCTTCTGGTTACAAGGCGAGCTCGTAGACCATTGGGCCACTGGGACCCGATCCAATGGTTCTTGAATTCTAACTCCTGCCAATTCACAATATAGCGCAACCGATAGCCAATGTCTTCGACGAGTATTTGTCCTCACACCCGACCTGCTGCACCCTGCTGGATCGGGTACCAGTGGCTTAATGGTCTACGAGCTCGCCTTGTAACCAGAAGGTACTGGGTTTGAACCCCTGTGGTGGTGCGTACTGGCGGAACAGCTGTCCAGTACTCCCTGCAGGTTTTCCAATGGTTCTCTAACCAATGTCAGCTCATGATGAAATCCTGTAACCAATCAACCAAATCCCTACAAACCAATACCTGAATACATAAACAGTCTCTACTATAGAAATACATGCAAAATAAAAGACAGGTTACATATTATATACATACTATTCATACACTACTTAGACGTTATTTTTTATATGTAGCACGTGAGAACACATCGCTGATTGGTATTCACAACAAAACATCACAGACAGCTTTCTCAGAATATTTCCTTCACCCCAAACACAGATCACTGTTGGCAAGTTTACAAAATGGTAGCAGTATGAATATGTATGCTGTTTACACAAATAAATGTAGTTACAGTATGCTTTTATTAGGGGAATGTCAGGAAAAAAATCCAGACAGTCTTTATTTGCTATAGAGAAATATGCTTTAACTAACTGCATTGTCTCTGTTTACTTATATTGAAAATTGGACAACTAAACAACTAAGTTAGAAAATTTTTATTTTTTATCAATTATACATACAGTGGGTAGGCAGATATAAGAGACTTGAAGGGAAAGGCAGGAAGGAGGTAGACCAGATGGTAGGCCAAAATGGATCGATAAGTATAGCGAGACTAAGTGCATGTATGCATCACTCACCCACATAAAATCGGCCAAACACACACACATATTTATTAAAAATAACGTAACCTTCCTACACGTATACAAAGAAGGCAGACGAATGAAAATCAAGCCAACACACAAACAAAATGTGTTTGTCTAATTAATGCAAAAACAGGGCAGATACAAAAATGGACTGTAAAAATTCATTCATTCTACAAGGTGAAAGAGAGAGAGAGAGAGAGAAAATAATATAAGTCTAGAACACATACAATGGACAGAGAATAAAGCCAGTTATGTGTCCTCGGTGAACATAGTAAAATTGACCAATTTTGACTATTTGAACAAAATTTGCTAGCCCAGAGTAGACAATTTTTAGACTAACTTTGTTTAACTTATTTCTATCTAACCGGTTTAGTGATAGGTTTTTGACCTATATCTATCTACACAGAGTGTAGTAAAGCCCGAAGTTCACAACAAAGCT